TCAGAAGCTCCCCTCCCCGCCAGAGAGGCAGGTAAGGCAGCAGGGTAAGGTAAGTCAGAGAGGCAGGTAAGTCAGTGTGCCCAACACAGGGGTTTAATCAGCCCTAAATTAAAGCAGCATTTTTTTAAACCCACCGCTTCAATTTAGGGCCCCTGTTTGATCTACACATGCCCTTGGTCAATGTAGGCACGTAATAGGTAGAAGTGGATCTGTGTCTCTTAGGCATTGTAAGTTTGTCCATGCCGAAAAACCTGGCAAGCTAATTGGTTATGGTATTGTTTTTATACGTTAGAGTTTTCCTGGTTTTCCCATTTGCAATGGTTTGTATCCACTTATTGGAAGAGGCTGTTCTGACCCAGAGATGTTCCAAGCTGTGGGACTGTTTGTAGAATAGAGAAAACTTACAGAAAAGCGATACTGGCAGGTAAAGGCCATAAGAAAATAATAAAACCCTGCTGGTGACACCACTTCTGAGATACTTGCATAAGTCTGATTATTTCTGTAAAGGGCTCAGGGCTTTCTTTGCTGTTCCTGATTTACAGCTCACTAGAAGTGTATCTCTGTGGGTGGCTTTTGGGGCAGTTTATTCTTTGTGCTTCCCTCCCATCACCCCACATGCACAAACTCAGCCAACCCAGAGTTGAGATATAACTTTGCAGTGGCATCACTCCAGGGACAGAATGTGCTGCACAGATTCGCAGTGTGCTTAATGAAGCTCAGCATTTACTTGTACCATCGCAGCAAGTTCAGGGAGTGAGCTTGAGATAAAATGCTGCTCATGAATATACCATACTGCTTCACCCCAAGGCCTTTATGTTAAGAACTCTTGCAGCAAGTGGGATGAAGAGACATAGGATCAGATCCTCATATTTGTACACAAGTTCTTAAATACCTTTAGTTCTGTATGTGCTGGAAACTCCACTGATAACTGGGGGTGGGTGGGTAGATATGTAGTAGGGGCGTCCGAAGCTTCAGTTGCTGATTTGATTCAAAAAAGATTTGGCCCAATTTGGCGGCCGTATCTCCCAATCCAAATTGAATCAAGAGACCCATTAAAAGGTCCGAATCGAATTGAAGCGTCGGAATCGATTCAGAAAAGATTCAGAGATTTGGAAGGCAGGCTTTCAGAAAACAGAAAATGAGAAGAGGGAGGGGGAAGAGGGGAAAGATACTGACATCCGTAGCTGGCCAGTGACTGTGATCTTTCCCTGAGTTCCCTTCCAATCACAGAGCTCTGGGGGAGGAACGTAGAAAAAACATTCAAGTTTGTGTGTGAAGTGATCTAGATACAAAAACTCCTAGGCTGTGTGTAGATTAAATGAGAGGCATGTGTGTATGGCACTTTAAAGTGGTATAAATGCTTTTGCACCGCTTTAATGGTGTCAGTGTTTGCATGCCTCAGTGATGTATTGTGCATTAATTCCAGCTGCTGTAGGAAATTTGGTGGCATAATGCACCTTAAATGACTTGCGGTACAGCAAACTAAAACTCCTATGAAGAGTTTTAGTTTGCTGCTCCTACAGCCAGGGAGCAAAGCACTGGGCTCTGTGCATCTCCATGGCTCTGCAGGAAGCTCTGCAGGCAGCCTAGCAGCAGACCTGGAAAGCAGGCTCCGCCCAAGAAAAGCAGTAAGCCTGATCTTTTTTTCCCCTCGCCCTGGAGCCTGCCTGTCTGCCTGAGCTGCACAGTGACCCAGTGCTTTTCTCCACAGCTGTGGTATGCCCCAGGACCTCCCAAGCCAGGAGCCTGAGGGTGGGTGCTGCCCGGGGGGGGGAGGGTGCTGCTGCCATGGAGGGAAGCACCAGCCCCTCCCCCTGCAGCCCAGGGACTGCTCTGTCCACCAGTAACTAACACTCCGCTCCCTGCTGGAGAGGCAAGTAAGTCAGTGGGGTGTGCACAACATGGGGGTTTAATCAGCCCTAAGTCAAAGCAGTGATTTTTAAAACCCACCGCTTTGATTTAGGGCCCCCATTTCATCTACACGTGCCCCTAAACAGTAGATACAAAAACTCATGGACTCAATATCTACATTGGATTCATGACACACCAAAACCTGCCAGACATCTGACTGCCCAGGTACCTCTCCACTTTTACCTGCTACATCCCACTTCCCCCTGACCCCAGTCTGTCCCTTAACCCCTGATGCCTCAATTTACTTTTTCACCAACTGGCTTTCTTGCCTGCAGCCCAGCCTCTGGCTTCTTTACTATTCATTCCACCCAGGAAAAGCACACACACCAACTGAAGATGCTTCCTCAGCTTGATGAAGGGTTTTTAAACCCAAAAGCTTGACACTTTATATTTCTCCAACTATTCAGTTGTCTAATAAAAGATGTTAGACCCTGACTCCATGAGGTGCCCAATGACTAGGGAGATGATGATCCAGTTGCTCAGAGGGCAAACACCAGCACACATTGCTAGCAACAGCTTTAGTTAAAATGGAGACTGCTTCTAGCAAGCTCCCAAAAAACAAGGGAGCATCCATGAGCAGTAGTTCTTTGTACATTTATACACTTTGGTTCATACTCATTAACATTTACTCCACCTTTGTTCCACCCCTATTCCCTCCTATCTCAAGCTCCGCCTCTGTTTACTGTTTGTTTCATTAGCATGGAATTACATATTCATTTGACTCATTTACGTGCATTTTTTCTATGAGTGCTTGTCTAAGACTTTGACCTCTGCTTCCTTCGGTTACTTGTGGTTTCTTGCTGATTTTTTCACCATTTCTAAGATTTTTCTTCTGCTTATCTCCTAACAATAGCTGGTGGGCTGCATCCTGTTCTCCTTACACAATGAGTTATATGTCCTACACACTACCACATTATTAGGAAAATGCTTGCCTAAGCATCTTGCAGTGTTACTTTTAATATATTATTCTGCCTTGTGGTTAGCAGCTTTGCTGAACCACAGGATATAGCCTTGTGTTCAGCTGCAAATTCAGTGTTCTCCAAGATCCAAATACTGTCACCCTAACAAAACATATCACATCTACTCAAACAACCCTGCCTGCATCTTCCTTAGATCATCACAGCTACAACCAAAAACCCAGTTAACACACACGAGTGACATGAGTTTTGCTTTCAACAGTTTGATGTGCACTTTCACAGAAGCCCCTGCACCTATCTCCTTGAAATCTGTCAGGCTTCATGCCCTCAGAAGGGGCTACCATCCCTGCTGTTTTCATTCAATTGTGCAAAAAAAAATTGGCAAAGTTATAAGTATTTTAGTGATTCCCCATTATATTCTATGATCGAATCAGCGCCAAATCTCTCAAATCCGATTTGGCTGAATTGATTCAAGACAGTGATCTAGATCACTGAATTGAATCACTGTCCCCTGAACTGGTTGAATCCAAATTGAATACTGGTTACCTTTCACAGGCCTAATACATAGATATGTATTTAATTCAGATAACTCAATGTACCTTATCTCCATCAAAATATTAATTGCCCAGACAGTTCAGTGAATGTATTTTCCCGAAGATTATATTTAGTATTAATAGTGCCCAGAAAGAAGATTATGTGCCAAGGTCTCTATAAACATTACTGACTATTATTACTAGAACTATTTGACAGATATGCAGAGTCAAGGCACAGAAAGATTAAGTGACCTTGCCCAAGGAAGGACAAAACACTAGCCAAAAGAAGAACATCTCTTCTTCAAACATCACCATAATTTATTTATATTACATGTAACCCACGTGGTACACACAAAGGTACCCCCTCTCCAATGGAAGCGATGTCAGTGGGTACAGGTATGCTGTGGGAGGAGTGATGGCCTAGCAGTATGCAGCTCACCTCCTTTCCCTACAGAGCAGAGAGCCAGGAAACCCAGTGAATCTTAACTATATACAGGTGTAATATTATAAAAGAATATACAACTTATAATCAGAAACTTACATACATATCTATATACAGATTTCTATAATTCACAGATATAACTTTACCTGAACAAAACTAATTACTCTGATCTTAAGCATGGGCTTCACTGCCTGTGGCCTTCGGGTTAAACTACAGTCCCTTCCCCTTTTTCAGAGCCCTCCTGACCTGAGGGGGAAGGGGTATTCAATGATAAAACAGGGGTTAGTTGGCAGATGAAATAAAATGTGTCTGGCAGTCATGAATCAATAATTAAGCATGCACAAACAGGTTACATCAAATAAAACATATTTGCATAAAAAGATCAGTACAATAAATATCAAAAACAGGGCCGCTTATTCACCTAAATACAATAATAAGGCAGAGGGTTAATAACAACATCACAGAGGAAGAAAAAAACAAAATACTGCAGTGGCACCACAGCAGTGCCCAATGAAGAAATGACAACCCAGTGGGGGACCCCATCACCCCATAGGGCACCCTTAACTCTGCTTAGGTTACTCAGCTGACAAGGTCCCTACCCTGGAAATTTCCCCTGACAAGCAGAAGCCCTGAATTTCTTCCTACACCCCAGGGTGAATTGTCCCCCCATCAGGGGCTTCCCCTTAGTCATCCGCAGTGGAGGGGAGGGACCTCCTCCCCTGTGGGAATCCAGGTGACTCACGGCTTCCTGCAGGGGCTCCCTGATGGGGCTAGGCTCGTCTCCAGGGGGCGAGGCATCTCACCCCTGTGCCTTGGACAGCTCTCCCAGCCTGTCAGCCCACTCTCTGCACTGTCCCCTGCACCCTTGGCCTTGTTCCTGGCTCTTGCAGGGGGCTGGATCTGGTGATCTACAAAGTTGCTTCCAGCCCCTAACAATCTATAAATCTATGAGACCTGTGCTGCTGTGTGCAGCCACCAGGATCTCGTCAGTTCTCCACCAGCCCCCATGCACCACTCTGTGCACCATGGAGGCTGGGTCCCTGCTTCATGCAAGGTGGGGACCTGTGCTGTCTCATGCAGCTGCCACAGTTCCATCCCTCCCGGACTCTCCATGAACCATCTTGTGCACTGTGCTCAAAAACCCCCGTACAGCAGTCCCTGCACCAAATGGGGCTTGGCTCCTGCCTCACACAGGGTTGGAGACCCATGCTGCCTCATGCAGCTGCAGCAGTCTTGTCCACTCCCAGACTCTTCATGCACCAATCTGTGCACCATCACTGCAGTTCCCTCCACGGCAGGGCAGAGACACAGCCACTTACCTCTCCCTGTTCAATGAAGCATCTTCAGGGCACTTCTGGGGCAACTGCTCTGCCCCCCACCGGTCAGCTTTTCACAGCCCTTCTTCGTCATCCCTCATCAAAGCTGCCCTTGTGCTGGGCATGCCAGCTTTTTATTCCTTTTGGAGGCTCCACCCCCAGATTGAGAAAGGTTCAATCAGGGAGCTCGAGGAGTTAGTTCCCTTTCAAGTCCTCTTTCTCATTTCGCCCCTGGGTCAGAACAGGGCTGCCCTCTTCCTGCCATTCCCTGATTGGTGGAGAAGGGAAACTGCCTCCACCAATGGGAGCGAGAGCCCTTTATGCTTAAGGTAACAATCTGGGCTGTCGGTGAGCCTGACAGCCAGCCTGCCACACACAGTAGTGTCTATCTGAAAACAGCACAGTGAGTTTAACATCTAGCAAAGAAGAGAAACCCAGTGGTATAACAGATCATAAAACACATGCACCTTAATTCCTAGTGCACTGTACAATTCACAAGGCTCCGCTCTCCCTATGCAGCATGTAGTATTCCCCATCAGGAACCCAAAATATTTTACTTCATTTTATGCTGTGATTACAGGCCGTCAAGGGAAATGTGTTTCTTAAACCCTAATGCTCCCTGTCATTTATTTCAGAAATACTAGATTTCAGTCACCTGTTAGTCTGAAGAAAAATGTTAGCATTAGCAGCTTGTTTTTGCTCGAAATTTGTTATTTAATATACAACTGCACCGTAGCCTGTTTATCAGAATTTAGTGCCAAGCCTGCAACTGTGTTGGCTTAGACATCGTGAATCTAGGCACATTTACCTGTTTTACTCCAATTGAATTACATGGGTGTCAGCGGAGGCACTCCTGATTTGCACCGGTGTACGTAAGATGAGGTTCAGAGTAGTATGTTTATTGCTTAGTTTTCCTACTATTGCCTTTCAATACTTTCAGTAAATCCGTGTTCAGGATTTTTCTCTTTGATTGCTTAGGATTAAATCATGGATGCAAATTAAATGATGGCCTTCAGAGCTCATTACACTTCCATTTTAAGGATTTATGGAATTATTTCCTCCATAAAAATACTTCAAGAGCGATATTGCCATATTGCCATCCATGCAGCACCTCTGTTTACTTTTGTGTTTCCCTTGATCTAACTACCATTGTTGCATTGAAGCAGTCAAGGATGAGCAGAGGAAGGGAGCCATCCACCTGCTGCATCATAGCCTCTACTGGGCAGAAGTTGGCTAAGAAGCTCTTGCTGTTGGAAGAAGCAATAAATCCCTTTCACATTTTCAGGCTTCCAATGGAGGCCAGGTAGCTGGCTTAAGGAAGTAGCTCTCCATTTGGATTGACTCTCGCTTCCCTCTCCCTTGAATTCCCTTTGACTCTATCAATCTTAAAGGAAACTCTGCCTTCATCTGTGTGGTACCAAGCATTCCCAGTTAAAGAGCGTACTACTATAAGCCACTTTGTCTGGGGCATGTTTACCCTGGGGCATACTGTTAAGAGAGTAGCATGTGATTCTGTATGTTGATGAGTCAGGGCTTGGTTTGGGATCAAGTTTTGCCTTCGTAGGAAGAAGAGGAGTAGCTGAGCAACTGAAAATACTTGGTTTTCAAGGGGCAGGAATTTAATAACCAAAACATTTTAACAAAATATGAATGTTTTCACAAAACCAATTTTTGGAATAACTCAGAAAACATGTCTCATCAAAATGCCTTTTCTCATGGATTCCCAGCATAAATTTGCCAGATTCGAGTGGATGGGGTCAGATTAGTAAAGCAACAAGAGAATCATCTGAACCTCTCAGTGCTTAGCCACTTGAACCAAAAACCAATGAACCTCCTGGGTTATAATTTCAACTGAGGGTGAAAAATCTATTAGAGAATTAACCACTGACAATCAACAATCTAAAATTAAAGTCATAAGTGCATTTGTAGGTGCAGCAGGAGAACCAAAAATACCCAGTGAGCTGAATGGTAAAAGGGGCTAATGTGATTGCTGATAAATGGAGAGAAAAGTGATTTTACCTCCCTGGGGGATAAGCAAGTTACTGAAAGGTAAGCCAACATGTCAGTTTACAAAGTGTCAGCTACTCGGAGGTAACATCTTTTACTCTGTAAATTCGTAGTTCACCCTTCAGCGCAAGTGGTGTACAGTATCATGCGTTCCCTGCTGAAACAGGTCTGAAGGGTCCTGATAAGACTTCACCCAACAGATGCTCCTGTAGCACCAGGGGGAGGTGATGTCAGAAAGGGAACTAATGGAAAATCACCCGTATACTATGAAGGTACGTATAATCACCGCTTGTGATAGTTGTGAATAGTTCTAGGTTGCTAAAATATTCCTAAAGCTAATGTTGCTGGGCATTAAACAGTTAATGTTGATGTTGCATGGGGGTCGGACTTGATGATCTGCTCAGGTCCCTTCCAACCCTATCAACTATGCAACTATGCATTGTGACAAAAGATGAGCTGATGTGTGAATGGTTACTTAACAAGGCTGGGGCTCGTTACAAAATACGGCTGCATTAGGGTGCAGCTGAGAGGCCTTGAATAGAGAGGATATGACCAGTACATTCTTGCTGGAGATCTCAGTGGGTGATAAGGTTCTTGCCATATAGCTGGCATATAGGAAGGCATCAGTAAAAGGTGTTTTGTCACACCTTCAGGATCTCATGCTCCCGTCAACACACTGCAGTACAATAGCGTGTAGATAGGTGGTTACCGTGGAGTAGCTAAGATGCTGCAAATTCATACCCGAGCTTATCTCATAGTAAGTTTGTTTGTGTCCCCACCTCCTGAACAGCATCAGTCAAATCCATTCTACAATACTTAATTCAATTCAATCCAACTTAGAAACATTTTAAGAAGGACGTTGGGGGGAATAAAAAAATAGAAAAGAGGTACACGCACAAAGGAGAAGATGAAACTACTTTACGTTGAGAGACTTCAAGAGCTTGATCTCTTCAGCTTATCAAAAAGAAGGTTGATGAGGTGACTTGATTAAGCTGCACAAGTACCTCCATGGGGAGAAAATACCAGATACGAAAGGACTCTTCAATCGAGCAGACAAAAGCACAACAAGGAAGAGCGAACATTAAGACCAGACAATGTCAAATGAGAACTTTGGTGCTTATTTTCAACAGCAAGGGGGATTAACCACTGCAGGAAACTACCACAGGAAATGGTAGCTTCTCCCATCTCTTGATGCTTTCAAGTCCATGGGTGTCTTGCTGAAAAGTGTCCTTTAGTTGAACACAAGGTACTGAGTTCACCGCTAGGGTTTATTTATGAAGGAGGCCAAACTAATCATCGTACCCCTGCCTTAAAATCTCTGAATAAATAAAAAAACAGATTCAGGAAACAGAATTAAAAACCATCTGACACTGAAACAAATATTTGGAGTGTTATAATAATCAATATAGCAAAAATATATAAACAACAATCAAGTGCTGACTTTGCCCCTGGTTTCTCGTAAGCAATTTAGAGACAGCTTTCTTCAGAAGGGCTGAGCATTGCAGTTCTTTCTTAATTTACTAGATTTGTTGGTGTCGGGTGCTTAATGAATTCCAAGGCAGAGGGATGAGTACAGAGAAAACCAAATGCACGCATGGATTGAGGAAGGTTTTGTGGCTCTGCAGGTTCATGCAGGTCGCAAATAATATTTCCCTTTGTATCTCTGTCTGGTAGAATTAAGGGGAAGCAGGATTAAAGTTGGAGCAGTTTTGCTACATTTGTATGGTTTCCCCCTTTGTCTATAGGTAACACTTAAAACATAATAGCTGCTGCTCCTTCTTGCTCTCTTTCTGAAAATGGCTCCAGGTGTACATGTTCCCATAGCTTCAGGCAGTATCAAAGTCTCGTATTAAGTTCTCATATGGTTTGGGATATTTTTGTGGGGGACAAAGCCGAAAGTGAGCATACACTGATTTTTAAGCAAATCCGGCACCTGCTTATGGGTTGAACAAAGGGATTTATAACCATGTTCAATACCATGTGTCACTTGTTCATTTTATATTGTTTGGCCCCAAAGTAAACACAACGCTTCTGCCTTGGACCGGATGATCTTGCGAGGTCCCTTCCAGCCCTAACATCTATGAAATCTATGGGTGAATTTCAGTTTTCAAGTTTGTGAAAGTAAGAACTCAAAATCGAGAGGGTAGGCAGCCTCTGTGCTTGCAAGCACTGATAATCAAAACAGCCTTATCTTCATAGAGTCTTACCTTGTAAAAATACTGGGCATTTTTGCACGTGCTGCAGGAGACATGGGGGAGTGCTTTATTTAGTGAACTACATGAATTAAAAGAGCCCAAGCATCATGTGTATCAGTGTCCCTTGCACTAAAAACTGGTGGTGGGAACTAAAGCTTTCAATGAGCTTTAGTTCAAAGCACTCTACCACCATTTTTCAGCGTGGAGACGCTGATACACGTGATGCTAGTCTGCTGGAGTGCATTAATTTCTGTACTCCAACAGTCTCAATTAATCGCGGTGGACTCAATCAATCCAGTCTGCTCCAATTCACTGGATTTCCAGTGCGTCAAAGACAACTCCCTGCATGTGTATTAGGAGTCCATCAATACTCCTGTATACTCAGGATTTTACAGAGTTAGCCCTGTTCTGAGACCAATAACTGGTACTGGATAAAAGTACATCTTCTAGCATGCCTTTCAGACTTGGAGTCTGCAAGAGATGGAAAATAGACTACTTAGTAATTTATTCTAATAGTTAATCATCCTTACTTGTAAGAATGTATTACTTGCATTTGCATTTGTCTGGCTTTGACTTTTACCACTGGGTCTTGTTATCCTTTTTGTATGCTAGGCTGAAGAGCCCTTGAGTATCTGGTATTTCCTCCCTGGGAAGGTACTTGTAAACTAGAAGCAAGTCACCTTTTGGTTATCTTTTTGAAGATTCAAGAGATGCAGTTTATTAGAGTTGTTCCTTTTATCCAGATGTTGTTTCTCTGCGTATGCTGTATGCTTTTTGGACAGAGAGCACTGTTTTTTTTTTTTTATCTGCGGGTATAACACCTAGCATGGTAGGGGCCCAGTCCCAAATTGGGATCTTTATGGCTTGCTCCCACACATGCTTTAAATAATAATGAAACAATGCCAAAATCCAACTGCTTGCATTGCAGTGGAATGTAGACTAGCTGCAGTATGGGTCTGAAATTTACTTCTCAACCTTATTTCTGGCAGGCCTACAATTCAAATGCAGTAAATCCGGTGATAAACTGTTTCAGTTACAACAGAGGCTGGATGATAGATTTTAGTGAATGGGCTCCAAATTAACCCAGCCTCACTTCAATTCAATGAAATAAGGCATATTACCTGGCAATGGTTCCAGTTTCTCACAGATTCTTTTCATACTTCATTTTCAATCATTCATATAGTTCTAGGTGGAAAGTACATTTATTACAATTTAATCTCTCTCCATCTTAGTCCTCTATAAAATTAATTTCCTAATACATTTTTCCAGTTTAAATTAGATTTTTAGAATCATTTCTTTTTTAACAAAAATGTGCAGTCTTCTGGCCAACTCGGAGGAGCATTTGAAGTCCAAATGAGAGGTGTGGACCCAATATTCTTTGGTCTTCAATTAGTCACTGTAATCTCTTCAAGCAGGCCTTTCTATTGTGCATCTTTAAGAACTCAAGTGTAGTCACACACTGACAAAAAGAACATTTTGAGAGCTAGTTTCTCAGGTGGTGAGGTTTCCATGGGGTTGTATCAATTTGTACTAGCTGAGAATAAGGCCAACATAGAAGAAGGAAGCAGAAGCCTAATTACTAGGGCTGTGCGAGGCTTCAGACCGTGCTTTGGAGCTGGAGAAGCTTTGGATGCTTCGGCATCTGAAACAGCATGTCTGGATTGAATCACTGGCTTCTTTAGGCTTTCTGAAGTGGTTTGGAGCTTCTGAACCGCTTCAGAAAAGCTTTGAAGCCGCTTCGGAGATCTGGCCATAGGGTGTAATGGGGAATTAATGAAATATCTATAACCTTGTTGTTTTTGTCTGATTTGGATGAAGCTTGCAGGGGTGGTAGTCTCTGCTGAGATCATGAAGCCTACCAAGCTTCAAGAAGATCGGTACAGGAGTTCAGAGGGAACTGCACCCCAAATTCCTGAAAGCAAAACTCATGTTATGTGTGTGTTACAGCACAGGGTGAAAACTCCAGGGGTGGTAGCCCTTGGCAAGGCCAAAAAGCCTGCCAAGTTTCAAGAATATATGTGCAGAATTTTGGGGGGAACTGCATCTCAAACTGCTGACAGGAAAAACTCGTGACATAGCTGACCCTTTGTGTGTTAAGGCACAGAGGGCTGAAAACTGCAGGGGAGGTGGCCCCTGCTCAGGCCACAAAGCCTGCCAAATTTCAAGAAGATAGGTGCAGGGGCCTGGGGTGAACTGTACCTCAAGCTCTGGACCAGCAAAACTTGTGACATGGGTAATACTGTGTGTGTTAAGGTGCAGCAGGGTGAAAGCTCCAGGGATGGTGGCGCCTGCTGCAGCCACAAAGTTTGCCAGCTGTCAAGGAGATGGGTGCAGGGGTTCTGGGTTTTGGGGCCCTGCATCTCTAGCTGCTGACAGGCAAAACTCATGACATGGGTGCTAGTGCAACTGACTGTGGGTGTCTTGGGGCAGTTGATTGTCTGTATTATTTCTTCTCCTTAGTCTGTGGTTTTGTAGGCGCTAATCCTTGCTCATTAACTCCTTACCTAGTAGCTAGGTACTGTGTATTGAGCTGGTCCCTGAGTGAATCATGATTGATTGGTAACACAGTAGGCTAGCAGCCAGGCCTGCACTACCCCCCCACCCCCACCCCAGTGTGCCCCAAGAAAGACACAGTTGCACAAGCACCCATGTCACATCTCCTTGGCAGCTGGCAGGCTTTGTGGCCTCACCAGGGGCCACAAAGTTTTCACCCCCTGTGGTGTAACACATACACATGACATGAATTTTGCTTTCAAGAATTTGGGGTGCAGGTCCCCCTGAACTCATATACCAATCTTCTTGAACCTTGGCAGGCATCATGCTCTCAGCAGAGACTACCAATCCTGAAAGTTTAATCCACATCAGACAAAAACAACAAAGTTATAGATATTTCATTGATTCCCCATTATACTCTATGGCTGGATCTCTGAGGCAGCTCTGAAGCTTCAGAGCTGCTTTGGCCAGATCAAAATCCGGAGCTCTGGATCAGATCGCTGGCATCAGAAGTGACTGGATCCGAAGCTGGATCAAATCGCTGCCTACTCATACAAGCCTACGAATTACCTGGTATGTTTCTAATAGGGTTCCTTGCTTCTCCTCTGCCCCACCTCCCACCCTGCTCTCCTCCCCCTCCCCTCTACTCCTTCCCCCCCATTAAAGTTTACCAAACCAGGAGCTCTGAATGTTACTCACTAAAGGTCACTTACCATTAGACCACACCATTCAAAGGGTTTGTGAACTGTAGTGAACCTTCAGATGAGCCTTGGGGCATTTTTGAAACCAATACCTAACTGACTCCTAAATTACGAAGGCATTGCATAGGCACTTCTGAACCTGGTCAGTTCAGAGGACAAAATCATTTGAGAAAGCAACTTTTATTTTTAAAACCAAATAGTCTTGGACCTAGTTTTTTAAGTGACTGGTAGATGAATGTATTGGGGTACTCAGGGTTGGATTAATGAATAGGCAAACTAAGTACATGCCTAGGGCCCTAAGTGAAGAAGGGACTCTTCAGCCTGGAAAAGCATAGGCTCAGGGAGGACCTGGTGGCTTCTTATAAGTATATAAAGTGTGTACATCAGGACATGGGGAAATGTCTGTTCACCGGAGTGCCCCAAGGAAAAATTAGGACTAATGGTCATAAACTCCTCCAAGACCATTTTAGGCTGGACATAAGAAAAAATGTCTTTACTGTCCAAGCCCCCAAGATCTGGAGCAGACTCCCTCCAGAAGTGGTGCAGGCACCTACTCCGGACACATTTAAGAAACGTTTGGATGTTTATCTTGCTGGGACCCTAACTGACTTCCTGCCCATGGGGCAAGGGGCTGGGCTTGATCATCTTTGAGGTTCCTTCCAGCCCTAACATCTATGAAATCTATGAAGGGGCCCAGTTGTGCTTATTTTATATAATATAATTATTGAGTGAAAAAAGTAATATAAATAAACAGTATTAAGTAGGGGACCACAAGTTTGTTTGCCTAGGGCCCACTACAGGGTTAATCAATGTTTGCTGCCAACATACGACACTAAAGAAGCCAACTTTTAAAAGGGCAACTGTCATGAAAAATTCAGACCCCATTCAAAAACTGAGAATTCAGAAAATACTTCTCACTTTTAGAAATCTTGGATGGCCATTTAAAATAAAATTAAAACAAAACAAAACACAGACCTTTATATCTAAGTTTCATTAACCTTAATGGTCATTCCATGAATTATATACTGTAACAGGCCAGTGTAAGCGAAAACATGGAAAGGATGTTTCTGGGCTGCTTTTTCTTCCTATATGAAAACCCTTTTTTTAGGCTATCTGAACTAACCATGATTAAAAGCTAG